GTCCTCAACACACACACACACACACACACACACACACACACACACACACGCGCACGCCTTAATCAGAACTTTCCTCCTATGACTAAAAAGAGCAACTCCTAGGAAAATAAGGCTATCAAAAATTTCCTTTGCAAGAGTTTTAAGGCCATAGAGGAATAACCTCACACCTGTGTAAACAAGCATTCTCACAAATCCTACTTTTCATTCATTCTTCTAAAATACTATTTATGCTCCCTTAAAAACATATACATTGTTTTTTGGGAGACTGAAGCAAAAGGATCAGCATGAGTTTGAGGCCAGCCTCGAATATAGCAAGATCCTATCTTCATTACATATACAGCACATAATTTGTTCTTCCCAAACACATTTCTCCTCCCCTTCTTTCTCCTACTAAATCAGGGATGGAAGTCAAAAATTCCAGCCACCCCTGTGAGTTACTCATCACCAGGCACTGCTATACACATCTTGTATACATAAACTCTTTTATGGAAAAATTTTTAAAATAAATACACTATTATTTTCTCTTGTTAATCTGTCTCTGGTTAGTTCAGCTCCCAAGACTCCAGCACCGAAGAGGAAGGAAGTATTTCCTTCCCTATCTTACTTTACTCTTACTCTTCTACCACCTATTCTCCACACAGCATCCAGAACCCATCCTGCTAAAACACAAGTCAGGGCTGGTGTGGTAGCCTATGCTTATAATCCTAGCACTCTGGGAGGCTAAGGCAGGAGGATCACAAATTTGAGCCCAGTCTGGGCAACTAAGTAATTTAGACTCTGTCTCAAAATGAAAATAAAAAATAAGTCAGGTGTGGTGGAACACACCTGTAATCCCAGCACTTGGGACCTGAGGCAGGATCACCGCTAGTTCAAGGCCAGTCTGGGCTACAGCGTGAGTTCAAGGCTAGCCTGAACTGCATAGTAAAACCCTGTCTCTGATGGATGGATGGATGGATGGATGGATAGATGAATGGATGGATAGATGAATGGATGGATGGATAAATAGACAGATAGATAGATACATAGAAAAAACTGGGGATGTAGCTCAGTGCAAAGGGCCTAGGCTCAATTTCCAGTACCACCAAAAAACAAAAAGAGTCGGATCACATCATTTTTCAAATTCTAATGGCTTCCCACATTACTAAACAGTAAAAGCCAAATTCCTTAAAAACTTGTAGTGCTGGGGATGTAGTTCAGTAGTACAAATGTATGCTTTGCATGTGCTAGGCCCCTGGCAGGCACACGTGTGCATGCACACACAACACCTGTAAGACCATATAATGAGTATCTGCATAATTATGTTCTCTGCCTTTTGTAATACAATGATGGGTTTCAAACCCAGGACCCCCACCATGCTAAGTAAGCACACTACCATTTAGCCATACTCCCAGCACCACCCCAATGCCTTTCTTGTTTCCTTTTGTATTATTTTTCGCACTTATTCCACTCTCTGGTACAGTATTCTGAACTCTTTTCTGTTCCTACTAAACAAATTATTAACAAAAAAATGATGTATAGCTATAAATGCTTGAATAGCATCAATTCAGAACCAAACTTAGCTTCAAATCAAAACCAAAATCTTATTTCAGGCTATCAAAATAGGAAAGATGTATTTGTTTCAAAATACTAATTTACTCCTTAACTAATGACTTTCTCATTATGTAATTCAGGCTGTCCTTGAAATTATGGGGATCTTCCTCCATCAGCTTCCTCAGTGCAGGATTACAGGTGTGTATCAACATACCTGGCTATATTTTTTAAAATCTGTTTTGTAAACAGAGTTGATTTACTAGTAGATTGTAAAATCCAACTGGCCACAAATTGTGTGTGTGTGTGGTTTAGGGGACTGAGTCCAGGGCCTTCACTAAGGTACATTCATAGCCTTTTTACCTAATTTTTATTTTTGAAACAGGGTTTCACCAAATTGCTAAACTGCCCAGGCTGGGCTCAAACTTGCTATCCTCCTGCGTCAGCCTTCCAGAGGGCCAGGGCTGTTCCACTACACTTGGGCTATTTTGTTTTTATGTGACGAAAGAAAAACTGCACATTAGATGGTAAATGTAAGAGTTAATTCATAGAGCTTTGCGTGCTATTAGGCCACAATGTATTTGTTTAGGGCAAGATCAGAAAAATTGGAAAGCCACTGCTAAATGAACCTCAAGTGACTCAATGTCCTTTCTAAAATCAACAACATTCAAGGATGGAAAATACATGGTATCCCTAAGAAATGATATTTGGAACGTGCTGAGGCTGAATCTATGGTCAGTTACGTCAGTTGGGAAACTGGGAAATGACTTCAACAAGCTATACCCCTCACTTAACAGGGACCTAGAAGCTGGGGCTGCAGATGCCCAATGGGTGGTTAAAAGCAGGACGAAGTATACATCTTTGTCTTCGCTTTATGTCTCCCTTCTTAACTCAAACATTTGGGTCAGATCCCTGCTCAGTTCTACATGCAAGCATGTTAAATGCTGTGGGAAGTCCAAGAGACCAGAGAGAACAGGGATGAAATAAGAGGACTTTAATGGTTAAGGAGCGTACCAGCTCAAAAACTCACATTCCGGGTCTGAGCATCAGACAAAGAGAGGCACTTTCCTTTATATCATTTGGGGGGTGGGGATTACAAAGCAAGACAAAGACAGTCAGTCATTCCTGTGTCACCTCCCCATCACCTTCTTATCTTAGCCTTGAAGAGAAACAGGATCCTTTGTTCCCAAATTGTTAGGATGCTATAAAACTTGTTTACAGCCTATAGTTGTCAGTTTTATCAGCTCCAGCTCTGGATGCTGCCTTCCTGTGGGAGGAGATGTCAAAGATGGACAGCTGGGGTTATGACCCTTATTGCTAAAGAAAAATACAAGGTTGTATTCCTGAGGAAGGGGATGTCAGAGGGCCTAAGGTTGGGGAAGATTTTTGATCAGATGCTTGACTGTTTTTTTCTAAACTCCTGCTTTTAAACACTTAAGGAGTGTCTGTATCACAGAATGGATCAACTCTTAAATTTACCTAGCCCCTCTGATTCTGTTTCTAGACTAAAAACACCAAGATGAAAGTAACTAATTTCCAGGATTTGTGGGGACATTCAATTGCCAGTTTTTATTAGGTCTCAATTCCAGACTCACTGGAGCAATGCCCAGAAGTCTGCAGTCACTGTCCTCAACCTGTAGCCACCTCAGAGTCCAGGAAAAGCAGAGCCGCACACACCAGTCCATAAGGCCACCATTCCCCGAATCATGAGCAATGACCCCAAGACAGGAACTGAGGCTGCCCCCAAAGCTGCAGCAGTCATCTCACTGCCCCAGGAGGGGACGGCTTCTCCCAGAGCCTCAGAACCATTCCCGAGATACCCACCAACCAGACCACATCTAGAACAGGATGGCTATGCAAACTCCCAACCCTTCGATGCCTTTTTTCCCTTTTTAGAAAACACCTTATAATGGAATACTACTGATCTGTAAAGCAAGATAAACTCAAGGCTTTTACAGGTAAATGGATGCAACTAGAGATCATACTCATAAGTGAAATAAATCAGACTCACGTGTAAACACTGTATTGTCTCTCCAGTGTAAGAACCTGAAAGAGTGAATAAAATCTAAAAGGTACAATAGCTATTGTGAAAGGTAAAGAAATTGCTCAAAAGGATAGAACTGGGATGAGGAAAAGGAGAAAAGAAAGAAGGGAAAAAATATGTATATATATATAGACAAGATAGCTAAGATAATTTATTACTAACTTCTATTGCTTTATTGAAAGGAACAGTTAATGTTTAATTGTTTGATCAATCTTATTTGCCTACATTTGTTTATCTGAGTAACCAATCTGAAGATAACAATATGTAATACAACCACTGTTAACTTACCACCTTGTCTGAAATTCTGTATTGCTTTTATTGTTTTTATGTTGTTTTGTTTATGTCTGTGTGTTTGTTAATATGTTTTCATCCTTTTATCTTTAAAATACAATTAAAAAAGAATGAAGACCTTGAGCCTCTATAAAGTTATCTGTGCTTCCCAGCATGGTCATGCTGACTAAAGTTCCTTTCCTGCCTGTCACCACTACTAGTCTCCTTGACTGGTGTCACAGGCAGGGCAAGCTGGTCTGTTGGGAACCCCACAGAGAGAGCTTTTGGCTCAAACCTCCAGTAACGCTGGAAGCAGGTATCTGAGGGAATTCCGCATATTCTCTTTCACAGACCCTAAAATTTCCTTTTAAAAATGTTTACCATTTACAAAGTGATTCAACTCATTGATTCACTTTATCCTCAAACAGCTCTAGATGGCGAGGAATGCTAAGTGCGTATCCTCACAGATAAATGACTTGTATAGGTTCCACAATGTGAAGTCACGGCTTCTGATTGTGAAAGATAAACTACAGACCAGAGCTCTAGCAGTGCGAGGTTAAATCCCACTCCACAACTCTGGCAAATACCCTGCTACGGAATAAAAATGTTACTCAAGCCACCGAAAATTAAATGAAGCTACAGTTCTGTGTTTTGTTTTTATTTGTTGGTTTTTTGGTTTTTCGTGGCAGAGTCTCACTGTGTATGTAGTTCAGGATGGCCTCGAACTCGCCGCGATCCTCCTGTCTCAGCCTCCCGAGTGTGCCACCAGCTCGGTTCCAAATGACGCCACTTGAAAAAAATGTTTCAAAACAGAAACGAAGAGTCCCTGCCGCGGGAGCTCTCGGTCCTTGGTCCTAATCCAGCTCCAGAGGCACCTGGAGTCCGCAAGGCTACAGGGGGCAGGGAGATCTGAGTTGTAAACAATGGCCGCTGGGCCTCCCACCTCCTCACACTAAAGAGGGGGGCGAGGCGCCCGACTCCGATCGGGGGGCACGGCAGGCACATGGGGGCCTGGACCCCCGTGGCCTCCACAATCCAGAGCCCAGCCTGTCTCCCTGAGGGTCTCCACAGCCTAGGCCCGTCCAGATCCGGACCTGGGGCTCCCCATCGCCCTTCCCCGAACCGCAGGTCCGGGGAGGACACAGGACTCCAAACTCACCCAGCTGGCGAGGGAGAAAACACCCAGGACAGCACCCATGGTGACGCCGATGATGGAGGCGGCGGGTCTGCTGGCTTCTAGCTCTGAGGTAACTGCCAGCCGAGGCGTTGCCCGAGGAACGCTAGCGCACCTCAGGCCGGAAACACCGCCCACCCTTCGCAAGACCCGCGGCGCGCGTCATGCGTGGCTCCGCCCACCTCCCTGTCACTGGTTGCCGAGGGGACGCCTCTCATTGGTTGGTAGAAGGAAAGGCGGAGCTAAACCAGCGGAGCGTTGCCGGAGCTGTCAAAGGCTCATTCTTTTGCTTGTATTTGCTTAAATTCCGTCCTATGTGAAGATTGGCACAGAAGTGCACATCTAGACACAGTAACGGTCGGGCGTGGTGGCGCACGCCTAACTACTATAAAGAAGTAATATGGGGGAGTGCTTCAATGAAAAAATATTCAGGACGTAGGTCAGGGATAGAGAGCAGCTTTCCTAGCCTGCAGGAAGCACTGGGTTAGATCCCCGGCCTCCAAAAAAAAAAAAAAAGTATATATAGTAATTTAGTGCTTTTCTTTGAGGCAGGGTCTCGATATGTAGGTCAGACTGACCTTGAACTCGTGGCAGTCCCGTTGCTGGGATTACAGGTGTGCACCACTATGCCCCGCTCGTGCTTACTATTTAAGGGGAAAGTAATTTAGTTGGCAAATAGTCTTCGAATGGTCTTTTGATAAATATAAAATTTGTTGTTGTGCTGGGGATTGAAACCATGATCCTGGGCACATTAGACAAGCACTAACCCTGAACTAAACCTATAATCCCAGCACTCAGGAAGCTGTGGCAGGAGGATCGCTGTGAGTTCGAGGCCAGCCCGGGCTACATAGTGAGTTCAAAGCTGAACTACATAGTATGACCCTGTCTCAAAAAAAAAAAAAAAAAAAAAGCCTGATGATCTGAGGAAAGGAGGTTGGTTTTATAGACAGAAAAGTCTGAAAAAGCACAAACAATGCCAAAAAGCACAAACAATGTTTTTTGTGGCCCAGGTCTGTAATTCCAGCATTCTGGGAGGCTGAGGCAAGCGGTTTCCAAGTTTGAGCCTGGCCTGGGAAATTTAGCAATTTAGTGAGAGTCTGCCTCAATTTTTTTTTTTTTTTTTAAAGTGTCTTGGGCCGGGTATATAGCTCAGTGGCATAAGCACCTGCCTGGCAAGCACAAGGTCCTGAGTTCAATTCCCGATATCAAAAAGAAATAATAATAAATAAAACATTTAAAAAGTGTCTTAGGGGCCAGGGATATAGCTCAGCAGCACAAGCACGTGCCTGGCAAGCACAAGATCCTGAGTTCGATTCCGGCACCGAAAAAAAAAAAAAAAGTGTCTTAAAGGGCTGCGGAGTGGTGACAAAAGGGTTAAAATTCTCAACACCTAAATTTCCTTGACAACACACTTCTCAGCCCATACTGGACAGTCATAAAACACTGCACTAATTAGAACTAAAACCAGTAGAAGATAAAGTACAAAAATCGCCGTCCTCCCCTGAGCTACTGTTATATCTTTCCCTGAAAGATTACTACAGATACACTTCTCTAAATCTAAAGAGCCTTTTTTTAAGACCTAAGCAGAGTCCTTGACAATTTCCAGCTTTGATGTACAAGTTTAATTACAGGCATTCAGGAAAGATTAACAGGGAATAACACTATGTTCTGGAAAAGGCGTTTCTAAGATATCTACAGTTGCCAAGTCAGACCCTTTTCTATGTCTTGATTCCCTTACGAAAAACCCTAGTTTCTTGCCCGACTGTGAGTCCTCTCTTGGAAACTTGCCCACTGCCCTTCCTGATACTGCAATCAGTGATCTAAATGAGCTCTTGTCTTTCACATATTCCTTGTCTATTGGTCCATCCTTTTACTGCTTATGTCACTGGCCCTCTAGCTACCATCTGGCACAGCATGGGAATATTCATAGCTCAGTTGGAAAGCACTGCATACCCAGTGCTTTCCATCTAGTACTGGATACCCAGTACTAGAAAGAAAAAAAAAAAGCAGATCAGTCATTTGAAAGTTACTTTATAAAGCAGGGATAGGAAGACAGAACAATGAAAAAATAACTGACTAGTTATCACTAGTTATTTCAGGTTACTTGTTTCATTTAGTATGAACTTTATTATGTTGGTTAAAACTGGCAGTTTGAAAATGTGGCTGTTACTTCTATCCTGATTTCGGGCAAAGTAAGATAAGCAGTTTAATCTCAGTTTAGTGACACAGAACTTGAGTGTGAGCTACTCCATTTTGATTTTAACCTGGTCTGGTAGAACCAAAAGTAGGAGCTAAGACCAAAACAATGGCCTCCTGTAATTTTTTGTCTTGTTTTTTGAAACAAGGTTTCATTATGTACTCCAGCCTGGCCTTGAACTCACTATGTAGCCCAGGCTGGCTGGCCTTGACACTCCTACTTCAGTCTCCTGAGTGCTAGGATTACAGTTGTGGGCCACCACACCTAGCCCTTCCTATAGTTTTAAAATGTGGGATCGACACCATTTGGGGTAAGTGAAAGGATCTAAGAGTACAGGAACAGGATATTAATGTTGAAAGGCGTATCACCAGCAGGCTAAAGACAAATCAAAGGTATAAAAAAAGGGTCACTACATTCTTGTTAAGGGAAAACTCCAAAAAGAAGAGATAACAATCATAAATATATGCACTGTCTTGGTTACTTTTCTCTCTGGTAAGAGAAAATACCTGACACCCCAAATTAAGGAAGGAAAGGTTTATTTAGCTCACAGTTTGTGGAGGTTTCAGGTCATAATCAGCCGGCTGCAAGGCGAGGGTAGCATGGCATAAGAGCAACACTTCAAGGCAACAGAAGACAACCAAGCCACAAAAGCAAAATGGGAGGAGAACAAGCCTCTTTTTCTCCCTCATATTGTAAGCAGGCTACCACCCGCTAGGGCAGGTGTAGCACTCACACCATCTCCTTACCCTCCTCTGGCACAGGATGAGGATGTTTACAAAGTGGGGACCCTGGCCTCCTGCTGAGTTAAACTTCTAAACTTCTCAAGTTGACGCAATATATCAACCATTACATGCACCAAACACAGGAGCACCCAACTATATAAAACAAGTATTAATGGACGTGAAAAATCAAATAAGCACTAACACAGTTGTAATGAGGGACCCTAACACCCCATTGTCACAAATAGATCAACTAGATTAAAAAATCAATAAAGAAATACCAGAACTGAACCGAACCTATGAACAAATGAACTTAATAGATGCCTACCATGTTCGACCCCACAACATCAGAGTACACATTCTTCTCAGCTGCACATGGGACGTTCTCCAAAACAGACTACATGCTAGCCCATAGAACATGCTTAAGTAAATGCAAAGGAATTGAAATTATCCCATGCATATTAACTGACCATAGTGCAATAAAACTGGAAATCAACGGCAAAAGAAACCACAAAAACCCCATAAATACATGGAAATTAGATAACACCCCACTGAACAACAAATGGGTCACAGATGAAATTTAAGAAAAAATTAAACAGGATCTACAACTGTCTTAGTTACTTTTCTCTCCTTGCTGAGACAAAATATTTGAGGTCCAGAATTAAGGAAGGAAAGGTTTATTTAGCTTACTGTTTGTGGAGGTTTCAGTCCATACTTGGCTGGCTCCAAGGCGGAGTGGCACATGGCAGAGGGCAACAGTTCATAGTGGTGGAAAACAGCAAAAGCAACAAGAGCAAAAAGGAAGGAGCAAAAGTGAGCCTCTTTCCCTCCCTATATTGTATACAAGCTGCCTGCCCCAGAGTGGGTATAGCTCTCACACCCATAATCTTAGCATTAGACCATGAATCAATCACAAACTCTAGAAGCCCACTCCCATAACTGCATGAGGCTTTGGGAGAAACATCTAGACATAAACCATAACAACAACTAAATGATAATTCCAATACAACATGGAATGAAAGCAGTCCTAAGAGGGAAATTTATAGCAGTAAATACCCATACCAGGAAGACAGAACGGGCTCAAATAACCTAATGCCAAATCTCAAACTTGTAGAGAAAGAAGAACAAGTCAAGCCCAAAGCTTGCACGAAGGAAGAAATTATAAAGATCAGAGTAGAAATTAATACACTGGAGACTAAGAAAATACAAAGAATCAATGAATCAAAGAGTTGGTTATTTGAAAGATTAAATGAAATTCATAAACCCTTAGCCAACCTTATCAAAAAAAAAGGAAAGAAAAGACTCAGATTCATGCAATTAGGAATGAAAAGACGGGGCTGGGGATTTAGCTCAGCAGCACAGCACCTGCCTGGCAAGCCCAAGGTCATGAGTTCAATTCCCGGTACTGGAAAAACAAACAAACAAGCAAAAAAAAAAAA